ACCTGAAAAAGCAAAATCAAATTATCAGTAATTAACTTTCAATTAAAAGGAGTCATCTCCTTACTTCTGTTAGCCACTCTGGGACAGAAGCTGAAAGAGCAGATTAAACATCTAAGCACAGATTACACCTCCCCCACACTAGGGAGGGACAACAACAACACAGGTATGAAAACCTGGTACAGTTACATGATGCACCCTAAAGAGTGCTTTCCATAACAGACCTTCCTCAGTAGGAAGCAGAAACTTAGAATCTTGTCTTACACCAGCAATTGAACAAATCCAGTATTCAAAATGGCAAACATGCCCAAAACAAATTGTGTAGACAAAATTCACAGTAGCAAATCCTTTCAGACTCAAACAAAATCTTGTTAATTTTTCTGATCCAGACTTTGCAAAAATTCAAGTTATCTCCAAGAATCCATCAAGGCTACCAGCAATTACCAGTTACTGCTTAAGGCTACTCTTTCCTTAACACCCAGGCATACATTTGCTAATTTAAACACCACTGCTCCACAATTGGCTGGCAAAATGCATCAGGCAAAGAGCAGGAAGTAGCCAAAGACAAAGCAACATACCACTGAAGAACCATTATTGCCTTTAGAAATGCTAATGAGACAGCAGAGATTACAAAAAGAAAGAAAAAAAAGTTCCAAAGTCCTAGCAACAAGAACCTCTGCCAAGTGGCCTCAGACGCCATCTTTCCTCTGGCCACAGGGTCCGATGTACTGCCTAATCTTTTGAGTAAAACTGTTATAGGACAGGGAGAGGGGCAGCCCAAGCCCCACAAACCTGCCTATTCTAAATGGGTTCTGCCATCCGCCGCATCAACACAAAACATAGGAGACTTTAATGGGAAGGAACTTTAATTAAACTAGGAAACAATACAGGTAAGGCAAAGAGTCTAGTTTCTAAATGAAGCACCCAAAGTTACCCATCCCCTCGTGGGTAAAAGTCCATCCATATGGGATTGGCCCAGAGCAAGGCCCCAAGGCCTGCCACAAGTCTAAAGCATCTTCCAGTGGAGACCCACAGAAAAGGGTCACAAACAACTGGACAAGCCCGGAAGGAAAAGAGCAAAATCAACATCAAGATAAAAGCTGCCATTGTCACCTCCCCATGGGTCTCACCCACATCTGTGTCACCCCGTCCACGACCAAAAGACAAGCGCAGCTTCTTCACGTGTCTCTAGGCTCCATGTGCCTCCTCCAGGTCTCCTGGCTCCATCCTGCTTCTTTCCTCAGTCTCTTCTCCAGCTTCTCCTCTTCCTGCTCAGCTCCACCCTCCCTTGGGTGGGGCAGGGAACCTGGAACCTCCCCCTTTCCTGGGGACCACCCTGTTACAAAACCGGCACAGAACAATTTCCACAAATTAAAATCTCTTAGCAAGTCACTACAAACAAATTACACACAAACACACAGAATCTTCACAAAGCCCAAGCCAGTTTTTCAACAGCAAATGGACATATGAAACAAACACACCGGAGAAACCAAAAATCACATTTGCGCTTATGGTAGCCAGTGCCATAGGGAAGCCCAATTTCCCCATGGGGCTGACTAACCACGGATGGATCTGTCCTAAATCACGTTGGACGCCAAATCTGTTATAGGACAGGGAGAGGGGCAGCCCAAACCCCGCAAACCTGCCTATTCTAAATGGGTTCTGCCATCCGCCGCATCAACACAAAACATAGGAGACTTTAATGGGAAGGAACTTTAATAAAACTAGGAAACAATACAGGTAAGGCAAAGAGTCTAGTTTCTAAATGAAGCACCCAAAGTTACCCGTCCCCTCGTGGGTAAAAGTCCATCCATATGGGATCGGCCCAGAACAAGGCCCCAAAGCCTGCTACAAGTCTAAAGCATCTTCCAGTGGGGACCCACAGCAAAGGGTCACAAACAACCGGACAAGCCCGGAAGGAAAAGAGCAAAATCAACATCAAGATAAAAGCTGCCATTGTCACCTCCCCACGGGTCTCACCCACATCTGTGTCACCCAGTCCACGACCAAAAGACAAGCGCAGTTTCTTTACGTGTCTCTAGGCTCCATGCGCCTCCTCCAGGTCTCCTTGCTCCATCCTGCTTCCTTCCTTCCTCAGTCTCTTCTCCAGCTTCTCCTCTTCCTGCTCAGCTCCACCCTCCCTTGGGTGGGGCAGGGAAACTCCCCCTTTCCTGGGGACCACCCTGTTGCAGTTTCACTTGAAAATGTCCTGAAAAAAAGCATTAGAAGTTATCTTCATTATTGCATCATCCTCAACTCCACATTTGAATTTATCTGGTGTGCTGACCTGGAAGGACACACAGAGCACCTCTGTGGCATCCCAAGCCCTGTGTCTCGAGGAAAATATTTGTTACGAGATGAATTAGACTCTTTTTATTTGTGGGCAACACCAATCTTACCTGAGGGATGAATGACACAAACTAAGGTTATTTAAATTTGGTTAATTAGCAGACACTTTCCTCAAAATGAGTGTCTGTTTCTTGAAGAAAATCAACAATTGGCAAATGGCAGTAACTTTGCCTGATAAAATATAAGCTCTCAGAGAAAACCAGAATTATGAAAAATTGAGTGCATCACTACTTGACAATTTAGAGTACAAATTTTTCTTTTGGGATTTGTGATTAAAAAAATAAAACATTTTTGATCATTTGATTCCAGTGTAATTAACACTAAAAATCTATGTAACTTAGTGAAACAATGTATCACCTTAAAAAATCATGCATTAGCACAAGTCCCAACCAATATGCAAGAGAGGCCCATGGAAATGTAACAGAATAGGAAATATTCCCTGATATTATTTCAGGTTTCACTTTGCAAATAACCTTTGAGAAACTACTGTGTGTACAGTTTTAATTTAGTATCAATATTCACAATTATTTGAAAATACTACTAGTTTTCTTCATTCCCCCAGGCTGCTGCTTCTCCCAGCCCAAATCCACTCCTCCCTAAGAGGAAGAGAATTTGGAGAATTTGGAGAATTTGGAGAATTTGGAGCCTCCCCTGTCTGTGGATGTCACACTGTCACAGCATCATGTCTCCCTCTCACAGGCTCTGTGGGGTGGTGCAGCCTTGATGACCCCACACTCACCCCCATTCTCTCGCCCCATTTCCTGGGGGTGTCCAGGGAAGACAATCAGCATCATCCTGCTCCAGTTACAAAGTCTCCAAGGACCCTCCTGGACTCCTTCTCCCCAGACCCCTGGATGGGGTGTGATGCCCCTCACCCTCCTGCTGCTGCTCTGGGGGCCCCTGGCCCTGATGGAGACCCGGGCGGGTGAGTGCGTGTCCAGCTGGACACTGTTGCTCCAGGAGGGAGGAGCAAGGAGCCCCCTGCGGGTGCAGGACCCCAGGAAAGGCTCATCTCCCCCCAACCTCTTGTACCCCCTGCAGGCACCCTGTGTTCTGGCCCCTTCTGTCCCTCCCGCCTCCCCTGAGTGCTCTGGTCCCCTGAGTCTGGGCCCTTCTTGACCCACCGCCCCTTTTCACTCTCACGGCCCCGCCCCTTTCTCCCCTCCAGGCCCAGCTCCCTGGGCCCTGGGCCCGCAATGAGAGGAGGGTGAGCCCGGGTCTCCCCTCCCGCCCCCAGGCCCCCACTCCCTGAGGCTTTTCTCCACCGATGTCCTGGCCTGGCCTCGGGGAGCCCCGCTTCATCGCCGTGGGCTACGTGGACGACGCGCAGTTCGAGCCGTTGGACAGCGACTCCCTGGGCCAGAGCGCGGAGCCGCGGGCGCCCTGGGCGGGGCAGGTGGGGCAGGAGGACCTGGACGAGGAGACTCTGATCCAAAGGGACAACGCGCAGTGGTTCAAAGCGCTCCTGAGGGACCTGCGCGGCCGCTACAACCAGAGCGAGGACGGTGAGCTTCGCGGAGCGGGGCCAGGGTCAGGTCACACCCCCATTCCCACCATCAGGCCGGGGTGTCCCGAGTCTCAGGGTCCACTGACCCCTCGAGGATGGTGGATCTGCCAGGACCCTCCCCCGGGAAGAGCCGGCAGGACTTTCCTGCCTGCCCATTCATTTTCAGTTTAGGTTTATTCAGGGTAGGGGGTGAGCGATTGGGGAGTGACCTCAGGGCTGACCGCTGGGCGGGGCTCAGGGTCTCACACTCTCCAGAAAATGTGTGGCTGTGAAGTAGGTCCCCACGGAAACCTCGGCGGGTATGACCAGTTCGCCTACGACGGCGCGGATTTCATCTCCCTGAGCGAGGACCTGCGCTCCTGGACCCCCGCGGACTCGGGGGCTCAGATCACCCAGCGCGCGCGGGAGGCGGCGGGCAGGGCCGAGCGCGTCAGGCACAGTGTGCAGAGCAGGTGCTTCCCGCGGCTCCGCAGACTCCTGGAGACGGGGAAGGAGGTGCTGCAGCGCACAGGTAAGAGGGGCCACGAGGCCTCGGACCTCCCCTCTCCTGGCGCCCCACAGGGAAATGGAATAATGGGCAGAACAGCAGCTGCTTTCTAGGCAGAGAGGGAGAGTCCCCCTGGGTGTCCTGTTCTGTGCTAGAGAGAGACTCGCCCAGAAGACACCACTTTTCTGGACGCTTAAGGAATCCAGTCTCTCCTGAGGGAGGGGAGGCCATCCTGAAATAACTCTTCCTGGATCCGTTTGACCAGGCAGCCATCCTGGGAACCATGAGTTTCTCTTTCAAGGCCTTGTTTTTGGTCTGAGGACATTTCTGGATCTGACTCCTGCCTTTCTGTTATTCATCCTCTACCCAGGTCAGGAGCAAAAGTCTGTGTTCTCCTTAGAGACCTGAATCCTCCTACCCTGGGCTCCTACCGGATTATCCCAGATTCTTCAGACTAGGCTGGTTTCTGGTTTTTGTGCTTCCTCCCTCCAAACCAATTGTCATGTTCATTCTGAGGATGGTCAGTGAGGCTGCTTCAGTGTCCAGGAAGGAAAAACCTAAAGTGTGAACTTTTTGTCCCTTCTCCTCAGATCCCCCAAAGACACACATGACACACCACCCCACCTCTGAGCATGAGGTCACCCTGAGGTGCTGGGCCCTGGGCTTCTACCCTTCGAACATTACCCTGACCTGGCAGCGAGATGGGGAGGACCTGACCCAGGACACAGAGCTGGTGGAGACCAGGCCTGGTGGGGATGGAAACTTCCAAAAGTGGGCGGCTGTAGTGGTGGCTTCTGGAGAGGAGCAGAGATACATGTGCCATGTGCAGCATGAGGGGCTGCTGGAGTCCCGAATCCTGACTTGGGGTAAGGAGGGAATGTGAGCACAGAGCTTCTCAGGGTCATCAGGAGCCCTTCTGGAGATCTTCAGAGGGTCAGGTTGAGGCCTGGGGCTCAGGGTCTCCCCTTCCCGTCCCTTCCAGTGCCCCTTCCTCAGTCCACTGTCCCTACTGACTCCACCGACTCCACCGTGGGCCACATTGTTGGCCTGGTTCTCCTTGGAGCTGTGCTCACTGGAGCTTGGTGGCTGCAGCTGTGATGTGGAGGAAGAAGCGCTCAGGTAGGGAAGGGAGTGGGGGATCTTGTCCACTGAGGGCTTTCATGTCCAGGGAGAACTTGCCCTTCCTGGTTAGTAGGGAGTATGATCCGCACACATGTGTTGCCCAGTCTGGAGCTGATTGCAAACTCACTCTTTGTAAGGCACTTATGAAAATGCATCACCAATTGTTCACCTTATAACTGTGGTGGTGGGGATCTGTTTCCCAGTAAATGTCATAAGGGAAGGATCCTGCTAAGGAAAGACTCCAATTCCCTTTCATATCCATTCTTCATATATCCCAGTCCTGACCTGGGTCTTCAGTCACAGTTCTAGAAAATTCCCTGTGACTTGGGGATTCCTTTAGGACTCCATGGGTTGACTCCTCCCTTGTCTCACATGATGTTTCTTCCCACAGGGGGACACGCAATCAACTAGTCAGGCTGCAGGTAAGTGTGGATTAAGGGTTGGGTCCTGAGCCCCAGAGGACAGCTTAGAGGGAATTCTCACCCCCTGGGACACACCAGTGGATGGGGCCAGGTTGTGGGGAGCTGTGAGTGGGACAGTCTTAGGATGCACTGGACTACTGAGAATGTTATCACTTAATGTAATTCACCTGAATTTCTTCAATATTATTTTCCCTCAGAGAATGAGAGCTCTGCCTTATGTGGGACTGAATGTTATAGGATTCCTCCCCCCCCCATTTTGTAACTTCAGAATCCTCTGCTTTATTTAATTTTATTTGTTTTCTAGCTGTCAGTGATTGATATAAAAGTTTTTATTCAATCTATTTATTTGTTCCCTTACATCACTGTTAATTTTTGTATAATATTTGATTTCTCTCTCAGGACTATAGTCCTTATGGTTCTCTCACCACCATAGCACCTATGATCCATCACTACAGTCCCTTGTGCTCTTCCCTCCCCTATTTGGAACCATCTCTCTCCTTCCCCCTGCTGTAGGCCTCAGATCTAGGATCAGGCTGCGAGTTTTGTCTTTAATCTGACCCTTTGTTTGATTTCTGTATATCCCACATATAAGGGAAACCATCTGATATTTATTTTTTCCTTCTGACTTATCAAGCTTAGTATCCCTTCCGACCCCATCCATATTTCCCAAATGGCATGAGTTTCTGTTTTTGATCACTGAGTAGTATTCCACTGTATCTATGGACCACACCTTCTTGATCCATTCACGATCCCCTGATTTAAAACACAGTGATAACTGAAGCAGGACATTTCCCAAGCCTGCTGCTTGGGGGAGTCTGATGCTTAGTTTCTGTTGCCTTCCCAAATCTGCTGCTTTGGTTCTGCTGCTTGCTGGAGCGGAGAAGTTGCTGGTGTACTCACTGCTTGCCTGAGGTGGTAGCCATGACACCCTTGAACCTCCTTCCCAAACAATAAAGAACACTTATACCATGAGAGATGGGATAGCAAGTATCTCATACAAACTGTATAAAACCTTGCCATTCTTGTTCCTGGGTGCTCAGCTCTTTGGGGAGCGATCCCGCTGAGCCCACCGGTGTGACAATTAAATCTCTCTCTCTCTACCTCTCTGAGTGCCCTGTGATTTCTCTGGGAAACTGCCAGAACATTTTTGGTTCCCTGGTTCTAGTTCAGCGCGTCCCAAGGGACTGAAGGAGAGCCTGGTCACCTCTCACACCCCCTCGTGGGACCAGGTAGAGTTGTCGGGTGGGTGGAATGCATAGCCAGATGCCAGATCTTTGTTTTAGGTGCAAAGTAGGAAGTGATTTTGTACAAACCATTAATAAATTAAGGTGATAAATTGATCAGTGGCTGTTTTCTCACAATAAACACGTGCGCCAGAGTAACTCCGTGACAGTCAAGGTCATGATAACAATGAGCTATCAGACAAGGATTCCATGTCCCATGAAGTGTCTTTCAAAATAAACAGATTTTAAAAAATTATTTCTACGTTTTTAAGATTCCATTTAATTTTGCTGTTCATTTCTTTTTCTTCACACTATCCCAAGTGGTGTCTGCAGGGTCAAAGCACAGAGGAGTTGTCAGTGGCCTGGAGCTGTGAGTGGGGCTGACTCTGACCTGCCTGCAGGGATTGCGGTCCTGGAGCCCCAGAATCAGCCCCCGGGGCTGCTCCTCCAGGGTGGCTCAGGCCTTGCTCTCCTCCTCTTGGCCCCCCTGAATCTCCTTGACACCCCAGCATTGGGGAACTGAGGGGGATGTCCTGGGTAAGGAGGGGTTAAGGACACCCCTTAACCATCTATCTCCCCCATACTCTGCCATCTGCTGCATCAAGACAAAACATGTAAGACCTTTAATGGAAAGGAACTTTAATACAATTAGTGTGCAACAAAGAAAAAGGAAAGAATAAAGTTTCCAAATCAAACATTCAAAGTCACCATCCCCTTGTGGGTAAATGTTCAACCAAACAGGGTTGGCCCAAACAGGGCTTGAATGCCTGCCACCTAAAGCACCTCCTGGCGGGGACCCATTGTAAAGTGGTGGATGGGGCTGACAAGTCTGGAAGGAAAAGAGCAAAATCAAGATAGAATCTAACATTGTAACCTCCCCACGGGTCTCTCCCCACATCTGTGTCACGCAGTCCAAGGTCAAGAAGGAAGTGCAAGTTCTTCACGTGTCTCTCTGCTCCGTGTGCCTCCTCCAGGGCTCCTTCTGGCTCCATCCTGCTTCCTTCCTTCTCCAGTCTCTTCTCCAGCTGCTTCTTCTCCCTGCTCAGCTCAACCCTGCTTAGGTAGGTCAGGGAACTTGGATCTTCCCCTGGGGAACCCCTGTTACAGTCCTCTCCGTCACCAGCATGTGCGTGTGTGGGGGTGACACCAGCCCTGCAAGGACGGTCAAGGCCCCGGATGTGCGCAGTTCCCTGGGCAGTTACAGGCCAGCACTGCTGCATCCCCCAGGGGAGACAGACGCTCCAGCCCCCCAGTGAGAGCCCCATGTCACTCATACAGTACTTCCCCTCACAGGGTCCCCTATGCTGCCCCTTCCCTGCCCGGTCCTCTCTGGCTCCCCCTACACCCCTTTCCACCTCTGTCCCCTAAAGTCCCCATTTCCATCCTCTGCTCTCTTTTCCAGGAGTCTCCCCATCTTCCTAGTAAGTGCCCTGGGGGCTCTCCTAGGCCCCGCCCTTCATCCAAGGATGGAGAATGTAAGGTGATTGTCTATTTGGGGATTTGCCTAGAACCTAGGAACCAGTTGTTATGTCCTGGAGACAACTAGAGACTAAAAATAAGGATAAACTGACACATACTTGGGCGCCCCCTTGTGTGCAGATCCCTGTCCTGCCGCTGGGGGCCCAGGGAGCCTGGGGAGGGCCTGGCTGAGCAGGAGAAAGGGCAGCTCTGGGCTCCTGTGCTCAGCCACGTGGCCACACGGGGGCGCTGCCGCGCTGATCTGGAGTCTGGAAAAGACCTAATGCTCACAAAGAATTCTAAAGAATTCTCAGAGTTGGGTGTCCTGGAGGGCGGGGTCCTGGGGGCTGAGCTGCTCTGTGTGCAGCAAGAAAACCAGGGCTCAGAGGAGAGGAGACTCCAGAGCCCTGCCCTGTGTGTGAGGTTTCCATCTTTTCTCCTCAGAAGGCCTAGGAAAACTGGAAATTAGATTTTTCCTTCTACAACCTATAAAATTTGGAGGGCATTAAAAAAAAAATAACATTTAGGGCCTCCTTGGTGGCGCAAGGGGTTAAGATGCAGCCTATGAAGCTATCTGCAGCCACTACAGCACAAGTTCGATCCCCAGCCAGGAAGCTACCAACATGGCGCAGCAGACCTCTCCTGACCTCCCAGCTGCTCCCCTCAGCAGTGTGTTTCAGTCAGTTTGCCTGTTCTGCTCCCCACTCTGTCTCTGGTGAATCCTGTCACCCCAACACCTCTGGTCTGTACCCCAGTTCTTGTATGCATAAATAAATAAATCTTTTAAAAAATAACATTTAAAGAATACTGTGAGACTTACAGAAAAGTTGCAAAGGTAGCACAGTTCTTGTTTATACCACAGCATTTCTATTTTGTCAACATCCTACATGAGTAAAGTTTTTTTTTTTTTTTTACAACTAATGAAGCAACGTTGACATAATTACTAAACGCCATACTGTCATTAGTTTTTGTTAATGTCCATTTTATGCTCCATAATCCCATCCAGTGTGCCTGGATGACAGTTTCTCAGACTTTCGTCATTTTTGAAACATTGACTTTGGTGAGGAGTGATGTTTTGGGGAGGTCGTGGGTTCACAGATGGAGGTTCTTGGGTCACCTCTGAGAAGAAAAGTTTCACCAAAAACAAAGTCCTCCTTCAGTGGTGTGCGTGTCCACACCCCACACTCTGCCCCCAACCCCCACACACAAAAGGAAAGAAGAAGATGCTTGTGCAGACCCCAGCAGGCAGGAAGAGCTGCCCCTGGAGAAGGCGGGTGTGTTAGGAGAAGCCTGCAGGCCCCAGGTGGCAGCCTTGGGAGCAGAGCTGTCTCTTCCCAGGGCAGAAAGGGCACTGAGGTGGTGTTCTAGATGGGAGGGCTCATTCCTTTGCGCAACTGTCATCTGTCTTTACATGAATTACTTCTATGGTGTGACTAGGCTGATTTGTCAGGACCAGTAATTCTCTGCAGTGGCTCCATGTGCGTATCCCAGCTCTGGTCTGTACACGTCCTATTGCATCTGATACTTGCTATAGCAGTTGGCCCTAAGCATTTTTCATTTCTATAGTTGGTTTAGTAACTATGTTAATCACTTCTACCCCACCCACAGTTTCTGGTCATGTGACCCCTCCACCCTAATTTTTCTACTCTTTTTTTAAAAATATTTATTTATTTATGCATATAAGAATTGGGGCACAGGCTAGAGGTATGGGGGGAGAGATGATTCACCAGAGACAGCGTGGGGTGCAGAACACACAGATTGACTGAAATGCATTGCTGAGGGGAGCAGCGGGGAGTCAGGAGAGGTCTGCTGCGCCATGTGGGTAGCTCCCTGGCCAGGGATCGAACTTGTGCTACAGAGGTTAAGTATAGCTTCATAGGTGGAGTCTTAACCCCTGGAGCCACCAAGGAACCTAATTTTTTATTCTTAGCCTCCATCAAGGAGGACTGCTCAGGAACATAGTACCTCAATTTAGGTATTTTTTTGTTTTTGTTTTTTTCAGTGGGACTGTGGGTGGGGACGCAGACCACAGGGGTACAGGTCATTGTCCATTCAACATGTCAGTGCTCATCATGTCCACCTGACTGATCACTGATGGTGTTAACCTTCAACACTAGGCTAAAGCAGTGTTTCCCAGATTTCTTCCTGCCAAACTACTTTTTGTTCCATTTATTTAAATGCTGTTGTCTTTGGAAGGAAGCACTATGAGCAGCTCACACTTATGGGTGTTCTGTTATAAACATTTGCATGCATGCAGGGTTCTGTGCAAATATAAGTTTCAAATTAGTTGGTAACTAGCTGGGGCAGTGATCACTGGGCTGTATGTCAGGTTTTCTGGTTTTCAAAGAAACTGTCAAAGATCTTCCACAGTGACCGTGCCATTTTGCACTCTTGCTGGCAACGATGAGGCTCCTATTGTCCACATCCTGGGCAGCACCTGTGCAGGGTTTGCATTTTTCAGCCCCTACCAGGTGTGATGGCGTCACTGTTGTTCTTTTTGTCTTTCCCTAGTGCCCTGTGATGCTGAGCATCTGTTCATGTTCTTCCTTGTCGTCTGTGTCTCTTCTTGGTGACGTGTCTGTTAAAGTCTTTTGTCCATTTTTCAAACGAGGCACCACTCATTTACAACACTGTTTTGTCCTTTTTAAACTTGGTTTGTTCTTTTTGCTCATTGAGTTTTAAGTGTTATTTTGTAAATTCTAGATACAATCCTTAATCAGATTCATGATATGCAAATGCTTCCCCCACTCTGTGTCCTGAACTCCTTTACTGACAGGAAAACAAACACTAGGGTCCATACAGAAGCATAGATATACTTTTTATTGGAAAAGAGAAATGATAAATCACTAACTGGTTTTGAGCAGATACTGGCTGCCTGGGGTGTTGGGGGTGGAGGCAATACACATACTTAACTTATGTGTATCCTTGAGTGTGATTTAAATGTTCTGATATGTGCATGAAATATGCTTTCAAAAGTCAATTACACTACACTGCTCAACTTATAACACTCTTCATATGTCACATCCAAATCATATAAGACCAGACCAGTATGTGTGTTACCAGTGATGGACCCACACGTCATAGACGCCAAAGTCATGGTTTCCTTTGGGTTCACTCTGGTGTTGTCTGTTCTGTGGGTGTTGGACAAATGTACAATGACCTATGTCCATCATTAGATTATCATGCAGAGTATTTTCACTGCCCATAATGTCTTCTGTGCTCCAAGGAAACAAAAGCAAAAAGAAACCAATGGATAACATCAAACTAAAAAGCTTCTACATTGTGAAGGAAAAATCATTAAAATGAAAAGACAATATCAATTTGGAGAAAATATTTGCACATCATATATCCAGCAAGGAGTTACTATCTACAAAAAACTCCACAACAATAAAACAAGCAAATCAAAACAGGGGGCAGAGGAGCTAAATAGGTACTTTTCTATAGAAGACACGCATGTGGCCAAAAGGTACATGGATAAGAGTTTATCGTCATGTGCTGTCAGGAAAATGCCAATTAAAACCACAGTGAGTTACCATCTTACACCTGTGAGAATGACCCATTGAAGGGTGTGGAGGAAAAGGAACTCTGGTACACGGTAGGTGGGAATGGAGACTGGTCCTGTTAGCAGGCAGGAGAGGTTCCCTGGACTCCCAAACCTGTACACTCTACATGGTTTCTGTCATCAGCTGCTTAAAGATAAAACGTACTCTAATGCATAAGACCTTCAATAGAAAAGAATTTTAATTTGTGTGCAATAGAGAATTAGTGTGCAATAGCGAAAGAGAAGAGAAAGAACATAGTTAAAATAGTTCCCACATGAATTAATTAAAGTTACCCGCCCCCTCATGGGTAAGGCCCAGCAAAGCAGGCTTGGCCCAAAGCAGGCCCACTGAGGCCCAAAAGCCTGCCACAAGGCTAAGGCACCTACTGGTAGAGACCCATGGGACAGGGGCAGGAGGGGCCAGGCAAGTCTGGAAGGACAAGAGCAAAATCAAAATTCGCATCAAGATAACAGCTGCCATTGTCAGCCTCCCCATGGATCCCTCACCCACGTCTTTGTCTCTTTCAAGGGTCTCCATGTCCCCAACTCCCTGACACAAGTCCAAGCCTGAGGAGCAAGCCTGAATTCTTCTTCACATGTCTCTCTGCTCCATGCGCCTCCTCCAGTCTTCTTTCCCCATCTTACTCCATATCTTCCTCCTATTCGTTAGCTTCTCATCCCTGCTCAGCTCCACCTTTCCTGGGGAGGGGGGGGGGATTGGGGGTGGGCAGGACTCCTGGAACCTCCCTTTTCTATGGATATCACATGGGTACAGCCCTGCCCTATGGAGAACAAATGAAGATTCCTTAAAATATTCAAAATAGACCTGTCCCATGGTACCTATCCATTCCTTGGTATTTATCCAAAGGAAGTAAAACACTAATTCTGAGGAATATGTGCCTCTTATGGTCACTGCAGTGCTGTCTACCATAACCAAGAGATGGAGACAACTTAAGTGCCCAACGACACATGAGGGGATAAAGAACACAAGCTATACACACAATGGAATACTACTCAGCTGTGAAAAAGATGAAATACTGAATTTGCAGCAACATGGATAGATACAGATGGGATTATGCGAAGTGAAATAAATTTGAAGGGGAAGTTAAATATTAGATTTCATTCATATGTGGAATATATAAAAACAAAGCAGGGATTGATGAAACTAAACCAAAACAAACTAGAAATATGACTGCAGAATTGAAGCTATGGGGTGGGGGTAAGAGCAGGAAACAAGGTAGGAAGAGGGCCAATAGGCTATGGTGGAGGACTATGGGGTCCTTATGTTGGGTGTTAAGTGGTAACAAACATCTGAAGAGGTGTGACCCTGTGCCTCTAACACATACAGTGTGTAAACCAGTGTTGCCTCAACTGAATAACACAATGAGGGCAAAAAGGAAAGTTCTTAAGCAAAAAAAAAAAAAAAAAAGTAAATTATCTCCTCCATCAGCCACTGACCTCAGGACTTTGCCTTCGCCTCCTCACTGTCATGCAGGCTGAGGGGCTGGTTTCCCACAAGGTCAGAGGCAGGAGGTGCAGGGACAATATCTCTACAATCCAGTAGTTGAAATAAGTGTTAATTAAATTTCCTTGGGCATGTTATATTTTAACGATGTGTCTCAGACCCACACAGACTAACCCATGACAGCCATATGAAGATAATTTCAATACACATTTTCCTTTGAGTCACACAGTATTTCGAGGAGACAGATGCTGAAAACTAAGGACACCATAGATATGCATTTCCAATACGGTACCTAGTAGTCATATATAGGGATTTTTTTGGTTTAAATAAAATAAAATAAAAAATTCAGGGCCTTCCCAGTGATGCAGCAGGTTGAGTGCAGTGCTGTGAAGCTGTCTGCAGTCTCTAGAGTGTGGGTTCGATTCCCGGCCGTCTAGGGAGCTACCCACATGGTGCAGCAGACCTCTCCTGTCTCAACCTCTGCTCCCCGCAGCAGTGTTTTCGGGCGTCTGCCTGTTCTGCTCCCTGCTCTGTTTGGTGAATCTTCTCACCCTCCCACGCATCTGGCCTGTACCCCCGCTCTTGTATAAATAAAAACAAATCTTTTAAAAAATAAAAAATTCAACATCTCAGCTAAAAAACTCACATTTCAAGTGCTCAATAACCAATGAGCTAGAGGCATCACAGTGTTCCGTGCACACATAGAATTATCCCTTGTCTCAGAGTATCTTGTGGGACAGCACAGCTCTTCATGCTCTGTGGCCATCAAGTCAAATG